ATCTTTGGCCAGGAGGAAAAGATTTCTGCAGGTGATCTTGGATGAAAATCTCTTACCCTGAATATGGCTGTGAACAGTCTCCAAAATAAAACCAGCAATCTTACAGGAGAGAAACAAGTAAAAAAATATTTTCTCCCGGCTCTTTACAAAGAAAGCACATGTTAGCCATATTGAATACTCAAGATTTCAGGTGGTCAGTGGTCCACAGTCAAAATGCTGTCTATTGCCACAAACCAAGCAAAGGCTTCAACTCTGGGGAGAAGCAGATCTCCCATACACCTTCCACTTGATTTGAACTTGAATGGTCCCTACAAAGAGAAGAGAAGTAGGATTTCATGGAAAATTTCCCATTTGAGCATTCTTTCCACCATAGTTCATCCCTTGACTGATCTGAAATTTTCACCTTCTCTAGTTTCTCCAGCAAAGCAATGCATTCGTCAACCTCTCTCTCCAGCAAAGCAATGAATTCCTTCTGCACCTCTTCCCAATTCCTTCTTTATTCTGTCCTGCACAGCACCCCTCTCCTCCATTCCCCGGTGCCCACATGTACTCCAGCCAGCCACCTCATTGTCATCTTTAACCTCTAATCGTTTTCTCCATAGAGACACTTCAACTCCTGAGGCTGACCAGACTCTACACCAGGCGGCATCTGAAGATATTTCGATCAATCGGGGCAGGGTCTCAGGTTTAATCCCTGCCACACAAAGCTCTACGGCACGCAGGTTTCTCTGGTTTACCCTCAATCCTCCCAAAGTTTTCGCAATATTGTCAAAGATTGTTTCTCTAAAAAGATTAAAAAGAAGTTGTATCAGTTTTATCAGGAAGCTACCTTCGTTTTGTTCGATATCATTGCAGATTGGAGTCCAGTATTGGATCTGTATCAACCCTCCATCCACTATCTCCATATCAAAATCCAGCTCATTATCGCCAGGATCAAGTATGCTTTCCTATCTGCGAACGGCAATAGAACGGTGCCGACTTCAATCCCATCTTTTTCCTACTGCATATGGGAAATACATGGACCACCTCTACCCACCTCGAATCCTTCAATCAAACCCAACTGACCACTTTTCTCCAGCAATAAATTCAGCATCTCCATGACCAGCACAAAGAGCATAGGAGAGATTGGATCCCCTTGCCTAAGACCCCCTTATGCTTGGAAGAACTCAGAGTCAAAGGACACACCATTTATAGAAATTGAGAATGAAATTGTGGACATGTATGCAAATATCCAGCTTCTCTACTTCTCTCCAAACCCCATTAATCGTTGAATCTCTTCTATAAAAAACATTCCACATGGTCATAAGCTTTCTCAATATCAATCTTACAAACCAATTACGTACAAGGTTTAGATGATGATGACGATGACCCATTCTTCTTTTTTTTAAGATAAATAAAGAGAAGAAAGAAAGAGATACGACAGTGATAAGAAATCACCACAAACAGAACAAGACAAACCCCACCCAGATAAACCTTAGAACACACCACTCCCATCCCAAAAGACCAAAAATTAACAATAAACCGACCCAACCCTTAATGCCCAACTCTCTGACTAGAGACCCAACCTTACTGATAAGGGTGGCCACGAGCCGAGCTTCTCACAAGCTATTCGAGCTCGGCTCAGCTCGATTTAAACCGAGCTTCGAGTCGAAGTCGAGCCAGTGAAGCTCCTCACAAGCCTAATCAAGCCTAGTATATACATACATATATATATGTTTTATATATAATAAATAATTTTTATTATATACAATAATATGTTTTATATATAACATTTTTATTTTTTATGTATAATAGTAAATAATTTTTATAATTCTTATTTTTTTTGTATAATTTTAGAAGAAAAACAGTCCCAAAAGAATAAGAAAAGTGATTAGGAGAAGGGAAAAACAAAGGAGATAGCAGCAGCAAGAAGAGAGAAGAAGAGAGTTCAGTTGTGAGAAGGGTGAGGGGAAGAGTTGTTCGTACTATCCCTCCTTCCCCTAATCCTTTCATTAAAAAATTAATTACTAATTTTCAAAAATTACAAGTAAGCCCTTAATTGGGTGGCCAGCTAATTAAACAAAATAAAACTGATAATAGTCCCATCAACAAAACAGAACAGAAGAATAAAGAGAAATAACAACTGTGGACTATGGGCCATTCGACCTATCTTCTCTATACTCCCCCTCAAGCTGGGTATAGATGTCAATCATGCCCAGCTTGCCTGTACCATGTTGTAGTTTGGCCTTGGAGACTCCTTCATTAAGAATGTCAACTAACTGTTCTTCAAATGCAATGAAAGGTAGACAAACTTCTCCAAAAGCCACTCTTTCTCTAATTAAATGCCTATCAACTTCAATGTGTTTAGTCATATCGTGTTGCACAGAATTATGGGCAATGTTAATAGCAGCCTGATTGTCACAATACAGCATCAGTGGTCTGTCATACTCAACACCTAATTCCTCCATCAGGGATCAAAGCCAAAGTAACTCAGAAACTCCATGAGCCATAGCTTTGTACTCTGCCTCGACTGAAGATCTAGAAATCACAAATTGCTTCTGCTTCTCCAAGAAACAATATTGCCTACCACCATACTACAGTATCCCGAAGTTGATCTCCTATCATCAATGTTGCCTGCCCAGTCAACATCTGTATAGGCCTCCAGTTTCATAGACCATGTGTAGCCAAAAGAATACCCTTCCCCAAAGTGCTCTTCAAGTAACATAAAATCCTCTCTATTGCTACCATATGTGTATCTCTATAAGCATGCATGAACTGGATAATGCAGCTAACAGCATATAAAATGTTAGGGCGAGTCATACAAAGATATAGCAGTTTCCCTAGTTACCTTTGAAACACTCCCTTATCCTCCAACAGTTCTCCATTAGAGGCAGAAAGCTTGTGACTCATATCAATAGGTGTAGCCACTAGTCTTGCACCCATTTTACCTGTTTCAGTGAGCAAGTCTAGCACAAACTTGCATTGAGAAATAAAAATTCCATCTTTAGACTAAGCCACTTCAATACCTAGGAAATACCTCAATTCCCCCATGTCTTTGATATCAAACTCAGCATGAATGAAGGATTTTAAGTTACCAATCCCTGTCACATTAGTGTTAGTCACTACAATGTCATCCACATAGACTATAAGATATACCACCAATGAACCTCTCCTCTTCACGAAGAGGGTATGATCAGACTAAATTTGTGTGTAACCAAATTTAACAAGAGCAGCCCTAAACCTTTCAAACCAGGCTCTAGGTGACTATTTGAGCACATAGAGAAACTTCTTCAGCTTGCACACCTTATCCTCCATGTTTGTGCCATACATCCCTGGTGGGAGAGACACATAAACATCCTCATGTAATTTTCCATTCAAGAAGGCATTTTTCACATCTAACTAATAGAAGGGCTAGTCTGAATGAGCTGCCAAAGATAGTAGGACCCTCACAGAGGTCATCTTCGCAACAAGGGCAAAAGTCTCTAGGTAGTCAATCCCATAAGTCTGTGTGTAGCCTTTTGCAACCAATCGGGCTTTGTATCTCAATAGAGCCATCAGCATGATATTTGATGGTGTACACCCATTTACAACCCAATGGCTCTTTCCCTTCAAGCAAATCAACCACTTCCCATGTGTCATTCTTGTATAGAGCCTCTATCTCGGTTCTCATAGCATCCTTCCATTCTAGAATAGAGAGAACTTCTGATACAGACTTGGGTATAGGGTTAGAAGCAACGGAGGAAAGAAGTGAATAATATGAAGGAGAAAGAAGGCCATAGGAAAAATGTTTAGAAATGCAATGTGTAGTACACTTCTCTTTACCTTTCCTTATGACAATAGGAACATCAAGGTATGAGAAGAGAGGCTACAAGGGTGTGACCTCAGTACCTGTTATCTCTTCAGCAACTGGAAGTATAGTACGCTCGTGTGGTGTAGAGCAAGGTTCAAAGTATCGGAAACGCAAGGTATCGCAAAGGTAATTTTAAGAGACGTATCGAGATACGCTTTGGAAACGCATAGATATGAACGAAAAATCAAGATATGCATGGATACACTAAAAAGTCCAAAAAAAAAATCTTTAAAAACATGAACAACAATAAAAATGAGTTTTATGTGATTATAACTAATTTATTTAAACATGAAAACCATTCTTTAATGATTTATATAAAGTATCGGGATATAATTAGTAACCGTTGAAAAAATAATAGAAGAACTAAAATGTATGTGTGTGTATATATACTAATATTCATTAGTTAATATTCTTTTAAGTCATTTATTAGTTAATATTTATTATATATAGATTTAGATAATATTTATTATGTATACAAGTTAATATATACCTTAACTTTTAATAAATAAATATAATTTGTATTCATCTTATTATTATATAAACATTAATAATAAAATTTTAGCATTTGTTGGGAAAAATCCACCAAGGCAAGAAAGATTACTTTAAGAATAAAAAAATATATTATTTTAATAAGCAATTAAGGTTGGCATAATGGTTAATTAATTATTGTTGTAAGCAAATGACTTGGGTTCGAAACTATTACCTTTGATTTGTGTTTTTTAACAAGTAGTTAATGCAGGAGAGTGGCGATGCAGCCATCTCGTGATCATTCTGCTCTGCTGTCTTATATGGTAAAATTTTAATAAGACCAATCATTTAAAAGAAATTATCAAGCAAGAGATAACAAAGCAAAAGATCATCAGTAGTTGAAGAGCTATGAATTCAAGGATCAAAATGAGCTTAACAAGTAAAAATATTACGAGAAAATGCTGAAACAGCTTTGCACAAAGCCAGAAAGAAGCAGGAGAATTAAAACAAATTATCAACCAAGAGGATTTAATTAAAACATACTAGAAAACTAAAACCCCAATTAAGAAAAACAAAAGAACCTAAAATCCAAGATTGCAGAATAGTAGCAATAAAAAAGAACAAAAATACACAATGATCAATACAGCCACAGAGAATAAACTCACTAATAATGTAAAAATAGGAAATGCAAAGAGAGTCGGACCTGCTCGAGCGCTGCCGGTGCCAACGTCAACGCCAAGAAAGACAGAGCGGGAAGAGGAACCGGAGGCTGCCATCTCGAGGGAGGTGAAGGAAGAGCTGCAATCGGAATAGATAGAGGAGAGATGGCCAAAAGAGGAATCGTATCGGACCACGCCCTTCGACCGCCAGAGAGTGCTATTTTTCTCCCACTTCGCAATTTTTTATGGTGGTAATTCGGAAATGAGATTCGGATTTTGGAATCTTCCTGGATGAGTGCTGTTGTGCAAAGTAATCTAACATCCGACATTTACTACGCAGTCACCCGTGTAGACACGTCCTAAGGCCTGGCGCCCCAAAAACGTCCCACACAATGGGAGGCCGCCAGCTGTCCTTCTACATGCGTTTTTTCTTAAGCGTGTGCGGAGCTAACCGGACTGTCGTTAGTTTGTCCCGTTAATTTCGTAATTGGGACATGCTATGAATGATATTTAATAATAAATACTAAAGTGTATGTGATTGCATGTGGCAATATTGATGATAATATTGACTAACCAAATGATCTTATTGTTTGACCATTAATGTATTTAGAAAAGAAAATGGAATATGATTAAGATATTAATTCATTTTTTCTTTGAATTTTAGCTATTTTAATTTTAATAATAATAATTCTTATTTTTCAAATATATTTTTTGTTTAATATGAAAAATATATAATATTAATGCATGTTCAAATTTTTCTATAAATTTTATAAATTATGAAAAATATATTGCAATTCCAATATATTGCTTGATCATTGGTTTTAATATTGTGGTCAAATCAATTATTTATATCATAGTATATATATTATTTATATATAATATATATGTTGTTTATTATTTATTTATAAATATGTTATTTATATTGCATTTTTGTAAACTTTTTATACAGTAGAAATAATTGAAAAAATATTTATATTTTTTTTATTTCAATTGTTATATTTTTCTTTTCCTTTTAATAATTTATTATTTTTTTAAAAAAATTAAATACGATCGTATTAGATTCGAATATCTAACATATTGATCGGATTCGGATTTGAATCAATATTTATGAGATCCGGTGGAATCTTTGGATCATATAATTCAAATCTGATATAATTTGTTTGCATCCCTACCAAACCACTTGCTTATGATGACGTAGCTAATTAAATTACTGAACCATTTGACATGATTAGTTGGTTCATGTGTTAAACATTAATTCTCTTTATTTTTTTTATCTTAATTTTTATTCTATTCCTATCATTAATTAGAATAATTCTCATTAATCACACGTTTTATATGATGAATATATAATATTATAGAATGTACCCAAAAATATTGACAAATTTCTATATTTTCTAGAATTTTATGTATTTTATTATTTAATAATAACATCCATTTGACACGAATAGTTTTGCCACTAACCTGTCACTTGGATGGGAAAACCATTTTACTTTTTCAGTTGATTTTAAATCATGTATTCCATTTTTATCATCGATAAAAGTAATTCTTATTTTCACATTTACTTTTTGTTTAATATGTTGCATATATAATAATAGAATTGTATCAAAATGTTTTATATAAAGCTTATATTTTTCTTTGAGTTTGTATGTATGTATGTATGTATTTAATATTTGTTACTTAGTTTTGACATCATAGATTGACCAATTTTACCTAGAATGTTAGATCATTGACCTACCTACCATCTAAATATGGAAATGGTTTCATTTTCAAATTGGTTTTAAATTTTGCATTTCATTTATATCATTGATAAAATAATTATTATTTATCATACTTATTTTTGTTTATATTATTAGTATATAATATTATAGATGTGCCCAAATTTGTTTCATATTTTTTGTACTATTCTATTTTAAAAAATATATATTTTTAATTATACATCATGGGTTAACATATTTGACCTAAGAGGTTGAACCACTAACCCACCCCCTAAATAGGGAGATGGTTTAATTTCCCATCAGTTTTAAGTTGTATATTTGATGTCCATCATTAATAAAATTATGTCTATTTTATCATAGTTATTTTCTAATATGACAAATATATAATAATAGAAATGTGTCCAATTTTTTTTTCAAAATTTATTTTTTATATATTTTTTTGTATTTTTTATATTTCTAAATTTGTATTATTTATTTATAACATCATGAAATTATCCATTTGACCCAAATGGTTGAAGCACTTACCCACGACCTAGATAGATAATATGATTTTATTTCTAGGTTTATTTTAAAAATATAAAATTTCATTCTATTAATAATTATTGTGTATGGATTTATTAGTGGAATTTAATGATGACAAAAAAGTATTTTTTATATTTTAAATTTGTATTATTTATTTATGACATCATGAAATTATCCATTTGACACAAATGGTTGAACTACTTACCCACCACCTAGATGAAAAATATGATTTCATTTCTATGTTTATTTTAAAAATATAAAGTTTCATTCTATTAATAATTATTGTGTATGAATTTATTAGTGAAATTTAATGATAATAAACTAAAGTATAAATGTTGGATTCAATGAGATAGAATGTGATTTATTTAATGACTTAAATGTGAGACTTAATGAGAGGTAATTGAATGTACTTAATGGTATTCTTTTAATTACATTTTCTACCCTTTCATTGGAGATGAAATAAATTCAAGATGAAGGGTATTTTAGAAAAAAAAAAATCCAAAAGCCAATACCTCCTTATTCACACTTTTATAAGTAATACAGACATAGATAGATGGATAAAATAGTATTTACACTTAATACTTTTTTAATTGAAAAGAAAAATAAGAACTTGAATTAGCTAAGATGTATGTTTAGAGAATTAGAGGCTCCCAAAACAACCGAGGCCAAATAGCTAAAGTGATCTCGTTAACTCCAAATCTGTGCCCAAACCCAAAATCTCCCTCCCCCATTTCCACTTACTCTTTTCTCCACTCTTGACAAGGACACTATGCAACCCTGCACTCCTCATATCCGATGTCTCCGGCGTCGACTACCATTCAGCAAATACATCAAAGGTACAAATCCGTCCCTTTCATCTCATCGTTCCCTTTCTCATATGTCATTTATTTATTAACTTATTTTGTTTTTTCAATACACAACAGAAAAGGAAGGATTATTGGCGGCCACCCAATCATTATATTGGTGTGTTTTTTTCTCTCCATTCTCATATGTTTTTTTATTTATATTTTCCCCATATCCCCAACCCATTTCCTTTAGGTTAAGTTTGGTTTGAAGGGAAAGGTAGGAAACCTTTACAATTCCCTACCTTTCCCTACTTTTTTCCTTCAAACCAAACACAGCCTTAGGGTTTGATTTTATTTTTTTATAAGGAAAGGTTCCACCCACCTCCGGCTATATCCAGTGACCACCAAGATCGAGGTTCCTAACTGGCTCTTCCAGCAAACTCACAACTTCACTATAGTTATCTCTGTCAAAACTTCCACCCATCCCCCCCGGTTCCTTTAAGATCAAAGCAAGAAGGGTGAGTGGTTGTCTGGTTTGGCCTCGCCTTCTGCTAGCTAGGGACTGCAATGAGACTTTTGCTCCTTGTGTTTGGTCACAGTAGAACATTGACTACAAGCTGAATTCACGAGTGGTTCTTGTGGTTGATTGCCTGGCTTGGATTCGCCTTCCTCGATCTTCTGGTAGCTAGGGACTGCATCAATTTGAAGCTGTCGATTATTTCTTGCAGCAACCAAACTGAATTAACAAGTGATTTTATCATTCTCATTCTTTGTTAGGTAGCCATAAAGATGTGCATCAGCACAAAGTCCTTTTGAATGTAAAATCAAGTTGATTCAAATTAAAAAAGTTCTGTAAGTTGGGTTGGTATTTTGGCCGGATATATATATATATGGTAGTAATACAAAGAATGAACCCTCTCGATAGTGTTACTAATGCCATAAATAAAACTCATATGGTAGTAATACAAATTCAGATTAACATCTTCATATTTTTTGGATGTTTTTTCTTTAGAAATGTTGTTTTAACAGTAGAAAAATTATAGGTGTTGCTGCCAAGGATGGGCCGAGGGCAACAATGTAATTATGCTTTCATAGACGAGGGCTAGTTGAGTCTGAGGACCATGGTTTTCAAAATCGGACCGGATCGAACGGTCGGATCGGAAAAACCAGGAAACGGTCAGGTGACTCATTCCATTTTTCCCAAAAACCGAATTTTCCCCCAAAGCTGTTGATTTTGGTCAATGAACCGCTGAATCGGGTGGTTAACCATTCGAACCGTTCGAACAGTTTTGACAATTTTTTATTTTTAAATTTTTTTTGTCAAAACGGACCAAGCGTTTGGTAATGCTCGGACCGTTCAACCCGGTAACCGGATCCCTGACCAGTTCTGTCTCCGGGTCGGTTTTAAAAACCATGCTGAGGACTGGTAGATCCGAGGGCTTCGATGTCTGACCTTTGAAGGAGGAAGTACGTCAGAGGCCCCAGGTGTTATCCCAAGGGCGGAGACTTCCACAGTCAAGTTAGTAAGTGCATAACATTGGGTCGGACAAGGCCTGAGGAGAAAATACTCAGACAAGGTCACCCAGGAGATAGACAACTTAGAGCAGTAAAAGCCAAGATAGCTTACCTATGGAGTGATGCCACTTATTTATACTTGCACTTGCTAGGAGTTTCTTAGTAATGGATGGCCAGGATGCAACCCGACCCATACCATGTGTCGCCTTCTTGGGCCTGCCATGTGCGCCTACATCATTTGCCCCCCACTCTCGAGTCCGTGGTGGAGGTTTGAGTGGGGACCTTGGCTTTGTCAGAGATAGCCCTAGCTCAGAAGCGCAGAGGCGTCAGCCTCAGCTTCTAAGGTCTTCCCTTAGTTGTCTCGGTGGTAGCAGCTTTGCTAATGACTCCACCTATTGAGAGATTTATGGATGGCCAAAGGCAAGGGACCATGTCTTGCACGGGTGTGAGGTGATCCTACCCCCCCGGCCAAGTGCTTCATAGACATCGTAGTGAGCTTGTGCGCAGGATAGGTGTGAGCGTCGATTGATCGTTGTCGTACATGGGACGGGGGATGGACCAGATCGTCGTAGCCATGCACGAGATAGTGTTGGTGTCGACGAGTAATGGCCATATGAGAGACGGGTCTCGGCGTTGATTGGTCGGGATCGTGCGTGAGACGGGCATTGGACCTAAGTGCAAGTGGGAGCTGTTAGACAGTTTTGTATGCCCTTAGCTTCAATCAGAATGATGTACTTTATGAGTTTATTGTAAATGAATAAAAGTGCATATTTGATTCATGTTCCC